CTAAGTGGGGTCAGTAGTAGTGTTTGGCGATACCGGTGAGCGTTTTGTTGCTACCGAAGTGTCCAGCGTAGAGGACATCATGGTATTCTTCGAGTAGTAACTGGCGCAAAGGAGGGTAATTGGGTACCCAGATTTTTGTTGATCCTTTCCGGTACGCGATGTCACTGTCCCACTGTAGCAGATGTCGCTTTTCTGCCAAGGGAATTTCGGGGTCGGTGGCGTACCCGTGTGTGAAGAGTCCCTTCGACCTGAATAGCGGCAACGTATGGAGGCCGGCTGAGAGCGTCTGCTTTGTTCTTGTGACCGAGCTTGTACACGATGTCGTAGTGGAAGTGTGTCTCGAGGAAGTCGATCCACCGGACCTGCTGTCTGGAAAGGTTGGGTTGTGTCTTCAAGTATTTCAGGCTGCAGTGGTCGGTGTAGACGGTTGTTCTTCGTCCTTCGAGAAAACATCTCCACGCTTTGAAGGCGATGATGATAGCCAGGGCCTCCTTGTCGTGTATCGGGTAGTTGAGTTCTGCCCCGTGTAGTTTCTTACTTAGGTAAGCGATTGGTTGCAATCCATTCCCTTGATCTTGCATCAAGACTGCTCCCACTGCTTGGTCACTGGCGTCAGCTTCGATGACGTAGTCGCGTTTGGGATCTGGCAAAATGAGTACCAGTGCGGACGTAAGTGCTTGCTTCAGCTTCTCCACGGCTTCCTGGTGCTTCGGCTCCCATTTGTAGGGCGTGTTCTTCTTCAGCAGATTCGTGAGTGGTGCTGCGATTTCCGCATACTGTGGCACGAACCTGTTGTAGTAATTAGCGAAGCCTAGGAACTGCTGCAACTCCTTCACGTTCTCGGGTGTCTTCCACGTACGTACGGCTTCGATTTTCTTAGGTTCGACGTGAACTCCTTGAGCGCTCACCATGTGTCCTAGGAACTGGACCTTCTCAAGGGAGAATTCGCTCTTGGATAGTTTGACGTAGAATCGTTCTCGTCGAAGAATTTCGAAGACGCGTCGCAGGTGTTCGACGTGCTGCTTCATGTCGCGCGAGTAGATGAGTATGTCGTCTAGGTACACCACCACGGACTCGTCCAAAAGTGGTCGTAGAATGTGGTTCATTTCGGCTTGGAACTGTGCCGGTGCGTTGGTGAGTCCGAACGGCATTACCAAGTACTCGTACGATCCATACCGAGTTCGGAAAGCAGTTTTGTGGATAGAGTTGTCCGCCATGCGTATCTGCCAGTATCCGGATCGCAGATCCAGTTTGGAAAATACCGTAGCTCCCCAAAGCTGGTCAAGCAGGTCATCGATTCGCGGTATCGGATATTTATTCTTGATGGTCTGCTTGTTAAGGGCTCGGTAGTCGATGCACATGCGCAGGCTTCCGTCCGGTTTCGGTGTGAAGAGTACTGGGGCACCATACGGCGAAGTGGATGGTCGGATGAGTCCTTTGGCTAGGAGATACTCGATTTGTTTTTTCATGTCGGTCAGCTCCGTAGGGCTGAGCCGATATGGTGCTCGGAAGGTCGGCTTCGAACCCGGTTCCTCCACTATCTCGTGTTGATGCGTTCGGTATGGCGGTAGCTCATTCGGAAGATCGTCCGGAAGAATATCTTGGAACTCCTTCAATAATTCCTTGATCTTTCCTGGAGGTTCCGAGGTTCTCTCCCTGTCATTTTCCGCCTCTGTTGCTATTGCGAGGAACCATGTGTCGGTTCGCTTCACGTCCTTCTCGAATCGTGCGAGTGTCTCCACTGCGATATCTCCTGTATCGTTCCCGTTGGGTAGCTGTACTCTCCGTCCATTGTTGTAGATGCTTGCGGTGCGGTTCACCCAGTTGGTCTCGGGGTTGAATCTTTTCAGGAAGTCTCGCCCGAAGATCAAGTCAAGCCCTTTGATGTTGGTGATGGGAAGTGCAGGTCTCCAGCGCAGTGGTCCAATTTGTAGGTGTAGCACTGCTTCGCCGTGTACTGGTAACTTGCTGCCGTCCACCATCGTTGCAGAGAATCCTGAAGGCTTGTACTCTTCCCGAAGTGGGTCGATTACTGCCTTGTCGCAGACGGTGTGTGATGCTCCACTGTCCACGAGTGCTTGGAGGCATCATCCTTTGCGGATGACCTCGAGCACGAGGGGCAGTCATTGCTCGGAGTACCCAAAGATAGTTTCATTGATTGGGTCATAGGGTACATCCCAATATTCCGTACACACCTTTGTGTTGCTATCTACTCCTGAGCTGGCAGCTGGCCGAGGCTGCTTGGAGAACGGCTCTTCTCCAGGGCCCGGAGTTTCCCTGACGACTGTGCGCGTCACTGATGCCGAAGAACTGGATGCATCCGGAGGAGGAGTTCGGGGTTTGTGCAACTTTTTGTAGACCCCCAGCTTCCTCTTGAGCTGCTTCAGCTCCACCGACGTCTTCCCTGGGGGACGGGTAGTCGTTGTGGGCTGGTGTTGGGAGAGGACGTTGACTCCGTGGAAAGGTCGGCTTCTTTCCACACTCATTAATTTTTTCCCCAAATTGTCCGGTACCGGTATAATCTCCACAGCTGTCTGCTTCTTTTGGAGTCCTTCCCGAATTTTCTCCAAGGCTCTAGCCCCTCGAACATCATAAGTTTTCATTAAAGCATCTTTATAAGATAACTTTAACGAATTCTTATAATTTCTTGGGTCTTCAAGGAGTTTCCCCGTCTCGGCAGAGTCCTTTTTCGCGGAGTCGTATTTTTCCTCGGCGATTTTCCCTGGCGAATACTGGTCGTGGGGTGGAGATTTTCCCCCATCATTTCCTCCTCGCGTCGAATGAGCTTCGTCGAAGTTGATTTTCCCGTAATCCCGCGGCCGTTTTCGGATCTTTTTATTTTCGTCAGCTAGATCCGCAATCACTGGCGACTCCCGTTTTTTGTCTTCTGATTGGCTGAAGGAATTCCGCCACTGTTGCGTGCCCGATACTCTGCGCGTGCGGCTTTCATTGTATTGCAGTCAAAGATTCGATGACCCGGCACCCCGCAAAAATCACACGTATAATTGGTGTTTTTCGGATGTGGCCGCCCCTCAAATCTGTCGACTTCCATCGGGTCGGCGAACGTGGGGTGAGCCGAGCGGTCGCCCTGTCGCGTACTGCCGACGTGCGTCCGTCGTGTTCCGGCGTTGACCATGTCGAAGCGCTCCGCTGCCGAAACGACGTCACTGTAGCTCGCGTAGTTTGACGCTGCTACCTGGCGTTTGACTTCGGTCTTCAGCCCGGCGAGGTACCATTGTACCTTTTCCCCTTCGGTCAGGTCGGGAATGCGGTTATAAAATTCCTCCATCTGCTGCGTGTACTGCGCTACACTCCCGAACTGTCGGTGTCGATGAATTTTTTCCCGGGCAAGGAAACTGGAATTTATCGGCTCGAAGCGTTTCAGCAGGTCAGCACGGAACTGCTGCCACGTGGCTTCACCGTGGATGAAGGTACTGTTGCCGCCAATCCACTCGAGTGCTGGCCCTCGCATCAGTGTCGCCGCGAGTCGTACACGTTGACCGTCCCAGACTGGCGAGCTCCATCCGACGGCTGCGAAGTAGATCTCCATCCCGGCGATCCATCTGCGGGCGTCGGAGTTTCGATCGCTCGGATCGAACGGCTCAGGTGGGCGCGGTTTCGGAGCCTCGAGAAACTGCTGCGACTGTTGCGTCGTCGCCGTTGTCGTCTCGTGCTGTGCTCCGGCGAGTCGAGTTACTCGCTCGAACTCGTTTCGCCACGCTTCGCGGTCCGCTCGCATCTCCTCCTGAAGGGCTGCGATGCGCGCGAAGAGCTGCTGGGTAACCTCGGTGTTGTCGAAGGTTGCCATCTTGTTCAAAATATGCACGGAGGGGGTAATTCGAAAATCGCGGAGCTGGTGCTTACCAGAATCGGCGTCGAATTGGTCGCCCTTGGCGGTTTTTCGAGGCAGGTTTTCCCGCTGCTGCTGCTTTGTTGAGCGCGGCCGAGTGAGAAAAGCTCTGATTACCAAGTGTTACAGGATCGAATGTGTCGAGGAAAGATTGCACTATCGATCAGTACAAGGCGCTTTTATACTTCCAGAGTACATCAGGTAACCAGGTTTATCTTATCCTAGGGGAATAGACCCTTCTAGAAGATAGAATCACCCTGCGTATAGCCATGCGAGGCTATTGGCTTTAAGGGATTACATCAGGATTACGCTAGATAGAGCGCACCAGTACATCCCAAGCCTGGTCGATGATATAATTATAATAGCAGGATAAACCAAAGGTGAATGGAAAAGGAAGAATAGGAAACCAAATGAGATGGAATAAAAGAGAAATGAAAAAGGAAGGAAATAAGAAAAAGCCAAGTGGTGTAACGGGGTCGTTCTCTCACAGCTGCCCTGGGTTACACTTGTTTAGGTGGTACTCTTGCTGACTGGTCTTGGACCCTTGCCTCAGAGGTTGGACTAGTAGTGCCACCCTGAGTTGCGTATCTCTTGCTAGTTGCAGCCCCTTGTCTAGCCTAGGGGGTGTGTCAACTTATAATATATATGTGTTATAGGCTAGCTAGGTGCATGCTCATATAGGATATAATCCTTTTGGGTATATCCCCTTGTACCATCTCATTCTAGTAACTCCTTTCTACGATAAGATACAACACCCTTCTTGTATCCCTCTCTCTTCTAGTGGAACCCCCTTTTTTTTCTCTCGTAACTTTTCTCCCTAGCTAAAACCTCTCGACATTTCTCATGACTAGCTAGCTCCTAAACTCCTTTCAACACTACGTTCATTTGGTTCTTTTGCATGTGATATATACCAATAGTTCATTCTCCACCCCACGCCTATGTCAAATGCAGCAACAATGGGATAGATGGGATGAATTTGTGATCTGGTATCTGGACAATGGAATGCTTATGTTGTTGATTCTAGGACACCTTCAACTTTCTATTGGCTTTTCTGTAAGAAGCTCAAATTCGTTTGCTTGTAGTGAAGCATAGAGTGCCTTCCTACTGGGTATGGAGTTGTGGCTCACAGGTACTTGCAGTTTCAATCTGAGTCACCAGTTTAGGGTTTCGACCTGTCAGACAGCATTCACCCAATCAATCTTCCCGCCATGGCTGCGCGTCGCGCCATTCGATGCAACTGACAGTCGTTTCGACAGCATATAGCCACTGTTATCGTCTCTCGTCATTTATTATCGCGTATCGTAGCCAACTCGAAAGCCCTTAAGCCTAAAAATCGTTAGTATCCTCAGGCTGGCCTCCGCATTTTTTTAATGCCCTTTCATGACGCCATTGTCGCAACACTTCGCGCTTTAACGCGAGCCGACCCGAGGTAACCTCGTCTCGCTTGCTCTATTCCAGCCTGTGCATGTTAGGATTCGTAGCCGAATCCATGGATCGTCAATACGACTACTTGCAAGACCAGGAGGGTTTCGCAGCAGGCTGGCCTGCGACCGACCAAGTGCCAGGTCAGCAACAGCCACATTCGTCGCTGCCAGGTCAGCAGAAATTGCAGCCCGGCGATCAAGGGTTTCTAGACGCCAGTAACGATCGGCCAGCTAGCCAGGAGGGTCACGGTATCTCAGGACGACCAGCGGGGATGCTTTCCGCGGAATTGGCGGACGAAGGCAAAGCTGGGGGAGGCGGGGGTGACGGATTCGGCGCTGGCGGTTCCGCCGGCGGGGCAGGCGCGGGGGGATTCGCGGGGAAAGGCGTTGCTGGGGGAGCGTCCGCGGGGGGAGGTTCCGCGTCCCGGGGGGAATCGTCTCTCGCGCGCATTCTGTCGCTGGACGAGCTGTCGACCGGAGACTCACGGTTCGGGAGATACGCGGAGCTGGACGCTGCTGTGGGGAAGGCGCGTGAGGGACCTGGGGGGGGACTTGCGGGGGGACTTGCGGGGGGAGCTGGGGAAGGGGGAGGTGACCTGACGGCAGCTGGGGGAGGCTTGCCTGTTGTGACTGTAACGGGGGAGGAGCGGAAGAAGATGGTGGCGGCGCTGAGGGACGGCCGGGATCGTGCAAGGTGAGGCATTTGCTGCTGTATGGGGGTGCTCGATACAGTCACATTGGTTGTTGTGACAGTGCTGGGATGGTTGTCACCGCGCCGCTGGTGCTAGTAGTGAAGGTGAACCCCAATTGTTACAGTCATCCCCGTTGCTCGTCAGTGTCATGTTGTGCAGTCTTTGACGCTTTCAGTGTTCCCGTGGCTACTATCCTGGCTCTACTTTCTGATGGTGGTGATACTAAGATCATTTCGTTTCAACTTCCTCCGCCTCCTCCTCCTCCTCCTCCTCCTCCTCCTCCTCCTCCTCCTCCTCCTCCTCCTCCTCCTCCTCCTCCTCCTCCTCCTCCTCCTCCTCCTCCTCCTCCTCCTCCTCCTCCTGCTGCTTCTCTTGCAGCGTGATTAACCTCTTGTGTTCCCCGATCCTGGTTGATTTCCCGTCCCCCTGCTTTCCTTCCTAACGCTGCACTCCTTTCTCTCCCACCTCCTGTCTGCCCTCTCCCCCCTCACCCCCCCTTCCCCTCTCCCCCCTCTCCCCCTTCCCTCTCCCCCCTCCCGTCTCCCATCTCCCCCTTCGCTCTCCTCCAGGGATCGGTCGCGCCATCTTCAGGACGCCCTATCACGACTCGACACGTGGCTCAACGGCGTCAGCATGAGGCGGCGCGCAGCTAGAGGCGACGCAGCGAATGCTGCTGGTGGGCCTAGCGGTGCCAGCGGTGCCAGTGGGGCTGCTGGGACACCAGGAGACAACAGCAGAAGCAGTGGGAGTGCTGGTGATGGCGGCACCGGTGTTGGCGCAGGGGGGGGAGGGGGTGGAGGGGGAGGAGGGCGGGCAGGGGCGGGACAGTTAAAAGCTGGGGGTGGGGCGAACCGGCATGTTCGCACGGTGGGTTGGTTGATTTATTGCACGAAAGTGCACACACACTGTGCGTTGCGTTCTTTGCACGCGGCACTTGCTAGCACCCCTGCTCCTCGATTCTGCGCCACTGGTCCCAGTCCTTCCCTGCCTGCTTGCCATGCCAGTTCTTCTGCTGTTCCTCCTGCTTCCGTTGCTTCTATCCTTCTCCTTTGGTTCTTTCATCTCCCATTCTCTTATCTCCCATTCTCTTACCTCCCATTCTCTTATCTCCCATTCTCTTATCATCTCCCATTCTCTTATCATCTCCCATTCTCTTATCTCCCATTCTCTTATCATCTCCCATTCTCTTATATCCCATTCTCTTATCTCCCATTCTCTTATATCCCATTCTCTTATCTCCCATTCTCTTATCTCCCATTCTCTTACCTCCCATTCTCTTATCTCCCATTCTCTTATCTCCCATTCTCTTATCTCCCGTTCACTCTTCTCCTATTTTTTCTTCTCCGCTCCTCTGCTCTTTCCTTTCCATTGTGTCACCTCACCTCTCCTCCCCTCTCCCTTCCTCAACCCCACCATCTCCTCTCCCCACCATCTCTACTCTCCTCTCCCCACCATCTCTACTCCCCTCTCCCCACCATCTCTACTCTCCTCTCCCCACCATCTCTACTCCCCTCTCCCCACCATCTCTATTCCCCTCTCCCCACCATCTCTACTCCCCTCCCCACCATCTCTACTCTCCTCGCCCTCTCCTCCCCTCCCCTCTCCTCTCCTCTCCTCTCCTCTCTCCTCCCCACCTGTTCTCCCAACCTCCCCTCCACCACCAGCCAAGCCAGGCGAACCCGTCGGATCCGAAGCACCTGGTGGGAGGAAGGAAGCTCTGGTGCCGCAACAGGAGGAGCTCTGAGACGTCTCCATACCCCTCCCGTATGGTCTCCTCTCTCCCCTCCTCCCCACCTGTTTCCCCACCGTCCTTCTCACCACCAGCCAAGCCACGAGAACGCCTCGGAACAAAAGGGAGGAAACTCTGGTCCCTCAGCAGGAGCAGAAGCAGCAGCAGGAGCAGGAGCAGGAGCAGGAGCAGGAGCAGGAGCAGGAGCAGGAGCAGGAGCAGGAGCAGGCGCAGGAGCAGGCGCAGGAGCAGGAGCAGGAGCAGGAGCAGGAGCAGGAGCAGGCGGCAGCGAGGGGCAGCAGCAGCAGAAGAAGATGAAGGGCCGACGCTCCCGCCCCAAGGCGGATGCCACAGGCGCTGTTTCTGCTGCAGGGGGGAGTCTCAACGGCGTGGTAACAGATTCAGTTGCTGGTGCTGCTGGTGCTGGTGCAGGTGCATCTGGTGCAGGTGCATCTGGTGCGGGTGCCGCTGCTGCAGCAGTAGGGGGGGGGGGGCTCAAGCGGTCTCTCTCCAGCTCGTCGCACAAGCTCGGAGGTTCGGCAGCAGGTTCAGGCTCAGGTTCGGTGTTCCGAGCCGGGCCTGTGCATGGGGTGACGTCTGGAAGCAGGGCAGGTGCAGGGGGGGTTGGTGGAAAGGGAGGAGGAGGAGGATCGGGTAGTGACAACGGGCCAAAGGTACATGGGGGCAAGGGGATAGGGTTGCACCAAACAAGGGATGCTAGTGGGAGGTTTGGCACCATGCGGAGTGGGGGAGGAGGAGGGGGGGGAGGAGGGGGAGGAGGGGGAGCGTCTGTGCCTGGGAGCCCGCTTCAGGGGGAAGAAAATGCACCAAAGGGCAGTGGAGGGGGAGCGGGAGCGGGGATCACCAAAGGACGAGCAACCCGAGGCCCTAGGACGCTAGGTGGTGGTCAGGGGGGTGGGGGGGACAAGGCAGGAGGGGGGGAAAAGGGCAACGCAGCAGCAGCAGCAGCAGGAGGAGGAGTAGGGGGAGGAGGATCAGGAATGAGGAAAGGTGGAGGGGGAGCGGGAATGGGTGGGTCGAGCGGTGGGGCAGCGGATAGGAAAGGGGGGTCTGCTGCGAGAGCAGCTTCCCCGGCTCACTCGGTGCAGTCGGAAAGAGAAGGGGGCGCGGATGGGGCTGGAACCTGGGATCATCATCATCATCAGCAGCAGCAGCAGCAGCAGCACCATCAGCAGGGGAATCAGTCAGGGCTGCCCCCAACCAGCAGGGGGAGGAAGCCAGGAAAGCTGCAAAAGACAGGAGGGGGAGGGGGAGGAGCTGGTGCGGGAGCAGGAGGGGGAGCAGGCACCGTTGGCTCAGCGGCAGCAGGCGGGGGAGGGGGAGGGGGAGGGGGAGGGGGAGTGGGTCTAGGTATGGCTATGTCTCCGTTAGGGTCTGTGGGAGTGAGTGAGGGGGGTGGGGAGGGGGACGAGGAGGGATACGGGGGGGAGGAGATGGATGGGGAGGGGGAGGAGGTGGGAGGGAGGGAGGGGGGCTTTGGCCCACAGAAAGCGGGAGTGTGGGGGGACATCCAGGGGGGGCGGGGGAGAGCTTCGGGGGGGCAGGGGGAGGGGCGGGGGAGGCAGGGGGGTTGTCTGAAGCCCAGTCTCGAGGCACTGGATTGGCTAAGGTGCGGAGAAAAGACAAAAAGACCAAGTTGGGGAAAGTGAGAGAGAAAGCGGACGGAGGAGGGGGAGGAGGAGGGGTAGGGGTAGGAGGGGGGGGGAGTGTGAAGGAGGAAGGTGGGACTGGGGGAGCGGCAGGGGCGGGAGGGGCGGATGGGGTGAGAAGGCAGGGGAGGACGGGGAGGGTGGTTGCTGCTGGGGGCCTGAGATTGAAGAAAGAAGCTGCTGTTAGTGCGGGCAGCGAAGGGGGGGACGATGGGGGCGTGCTGGGCAGTGGAGGTGGTGGTGCTGGTGGTGGCGGTGGTGCTGCCTCTGCTGTTGCTGCTGGTGGGAGCGCTGGTGGTGGTGGTGGTGGTGGTGGGGGTGGTGGTGGGGGTAGTGGTGGGGCAGGGGGGCTGGTGGGTGTAGCCAATAACGTGAAGCAGATTCGCACGTCTCGCCTGGGATTGGAGAAAGGAGAGAGGTGAGGTTCTTGTGATGTAACCCGACCAAACACACTAAGGAAAGAGGCAAAACCCGCAAAACCCTTGGATGGTCGGTCGGGTGTGAACCCTCTCTTGCTACGCTCTCTTCCGTCCAATCCTCACTGTTTTCTGTTTCTTCACCATCACTCCGATCCGTCTTTTGCATTCGTGGTCCTGCTGCAGGGGCGGTTGGACAGACAGGCACAGTGCAGCCAGCAGGGTGCAGAGGAGAGGCGCATGCATACTCTTTCCCTCCCTCCCCTAGAGCCTCTCTTCCATCCCGCTCTTCTTTCCCTCTCCTTCCAATCCCCACCAATCAGGGGCGGCAGGGTAGACAGGCGCAATGCAGCCAACAGGGTGCAGAGGCGCATGCACGCAGACAGCCCCATGGAGGAGTCTGGTAAGGAACTTTCTTAGCTAAAAGCCTTTTAGGCAGGTGGGCCACAATTATCGCGCAGCATGGATTTATCCTTGCAGTGCAGACAACCCAATGGAGGAGTTTGATGAGTGACCTTTTTTTCGAGGTGACTTTTGAGTCGACTCAAAAGTCACCTCAGTGCAGACAGCCCAATAGAGGAGTTTGATGAGTCAATTGAGGACCTTTTTTTCCAGCTTTTGAGTCGACTCAAAAGCAGGCTCGACGAGTGGCCTGCTTGTGAATCAACTTCTGAGAGTTGATTTTTTCAGCTTCTGAGAGTTGATTTTTTCAGCTTCTGAGAGTTGATTTTTTCAGCTTCTGAGAGTTGATTTTTTCAGCTTCTGAGAGTTGATTTTTTCAGCTTCTGAGAGTTGATTTTTTCAGCTTCTGAGAGTTGATTCACAAGCAGGCTCGATGATGAGTGACCTTTTTTCCGATGAAGAGTGTTTAACCAAAGCTTGTCAGTAATTGGGGGGCTCACCTGCTTCAATAAATGCTGGCAGCTCTCGTTTCAGGGGTTTTTTTGTTGTTCTGGAAAATCCGTGGCTCGTGGTAGTATTTTTGGCAGGATGTGTGAGGAGTGAAAATACACTGTTGATAGGCTCTCAAGTTTGTAAGCAATGTGCCACGCATTCACGTCTTTTTCTTTTTGAAGGTGATTCGGACGATGATGCGGAGGAGCTGTCAAACGCAATCCAAGCAGCCATGAATTCCGCAGGTTTGGCTCTTGACTCTTGGTGTGCTCTTGGTGTGCTCTTCTGTGCTCTTGGTGTGCTCTTGGTGTGCTCTTGGTGTGCTCTTCTGTGCTCTTGGTGTGCTCTTGGTGTGCTCTTGGTGTGCCTTTGGTGTGCTCTTGGTGTGCTCTTGGTGTGCATGAGATGATTTTTGACGCGCCTCAAGAAATGCCTCATCACAAACAAGCAGTGGTTGTGCATGTCTGAGTAGTTTCCTTTCCCCCGCTTCTTCCGCCGTTTTTTTTCTTTTTTTGGGAGTGAGATAAGTCAGTAGCTAGCGCCCTTCTTCCACTTCCCTGCTCCAGAGGACAGTGCAAGACTAAGACTCACCGTAACTTCTCCCCCCCTTGCCCCCTTCCCCCCTTTCCCCCTTCCCCCCTTTCCCCTTCCCCCCGTTCCCCCTTTCCCCCTTCACCCCTTCACCCCTTTCCCCCTTTCCCCCTTTCCCCCTTCCCCCTTTCCCCCTCTCCCCTTCCCCTCTTTCCCCCTTTCCCCCTTTCCCCCTTTCCCCCTTTCCCCCTTCCCCCTTTCCCCCTTTCCCCCTTTCCCCCTTCCCCCTTTCCCCCTTCCCCCCTTTCCCCCTTTCCCCCTTTCCCCCTTTCCCCCTTTCCCCCTTTCCCCCTTTCCCCCTTTCCCCCTTTCCCCCTTTCCCCCTTTCCCCCTTTCCCCCTTTCCCCCTTTCCCCCTTTCCCCCTTTCCCCCCCCTTCCCCCTTCCCCCCTTCCCCCTTTCCCCCTTTCCCCCTTCCCCCCTTCCCCCCTTTCCCCCTTCCCCCCTTCCCACCCTCACTCCCACCTCCCTCCCCACCGCCAGCTGCAGCAGCCTCAAGTCCCTTCTGGAAGTCAGTAGAGCCCTTCTTCCACTTCCCCGCTCCAGAGGACATTGCGAGACTAAGACAAATGGTGAGCTGGCATCCGCGACGCATGCGTGTAAGCCCTTCTTCCACTTCCCCGCTCCTGATGACCTTGGAAGACTGCGGCAAATGGTACGGCTTGAGGAGGAAAGGGGTAGGGCTCGAGAGTGGGAAGAGGGAGGAGAGGAAGGAGGTAGGTTTTGCGAGAGAGAAGAGGGAGAAGAGGAAAGGGGTAGGGCTCGAGAGTGGGAAGAGGGAGGAGAGGAAGGAGGCAGGGTTTGAGAGGTGAAAGGTGGGCCTGTCTCACTGTAATCCAGTGTATACTGGATTGTGGAGGTGTACTTTGGAGGTACTTCAGCATACAGCGCCCCTCCCTCAAGCATTGTGTCTCTCAGGCAGTAGTAGTACCCCTGCACACAAATGGTTGAGGAGTCTATTTTTTAGCCGCCTCAAAAATAGCATTGTGTCTCTCAGGCAGCAGTACCCTCCTCACGCCAACATGTAGGAGGCAGCTTTTGAGTCGACTCAAGAGCTGAAGCCTTGTGTCTCTCAGGCAGTAGTAGTACCCCCACACACAAATGGCTTGTGTGCGCAATTTCTAATACATGCCCCCTTCCCTGCCCTCAATTCCGCAATTTTGCAGTCTGGAGCCACAGAGGGAGCAGACGACAAGGCACATCCAAGTGGAGACAGAAAAACAGACCCGGGCACAAGCAACCCAGCTGCTGCTGCTGCTGCTGCTGCTGCTGTTAACAGTAACTGTAACAGAAACGGTAATGGTAACGGGCTGGGTCTGTTAATGGGCAGCTCGGAATCTCGGCCCCCAGGCTCCCTCCTCAATCTCCCCTGCCTCATGTCTGTAACGCCTGCTGGTAACCGCTCGCCGGCAGGGGGTTTAGGAGGGGTGGCAGGAGGAGGTCTAGGGTTTGGTGCACTGGGTGGGGATGACTTTACCAACCCTGGAGCAGGCTTGGGAGGAGGTTTGGGAGGAGGTTTGGAGGGAGGTTTGGAAGGTGGTTCGGGAGGGAGTGGAAGGGAGTGGGGTGGAGCGGTTGGGGAGTCGATGGTCCATCGCCTGCTGTCAGCACTGATTGATAGCCCGAGACAGGGAGGGGGCAAGCAGGGTGACAATGAAGGGGAGGAGGATGAGGAAGAGGAAGAGGAGGAAGAGGAAGAGGAGAATGGGGATGGGAATGGGGATGGGGGGAAGGGAGCTGAGAAGGGAGCGAGGGGGGACGCGAAGGACGAGGAGGAAGAGGAGAAGGAGGTGTTTGCGATGGGTGTTCTTGGGAATGGGAAGGTGACAGACGGAGTGCCTGGTAGGGGGAAGAAGAAAGGGGGGCTGCTGGAAGGAAACGCAGGAGGCATGGAAGGGGATGGCGGAGGGGGTGGAGGAGGAGAGGTGCAGTGGGTGCTAGCACCAGAAGAGGAGGTGTTATCTGGGGCGGCTCTATCTGGGAACCTGATTCGCGGCCCCCCGTTACTGCCACAATCATGGGGGCATCCTGGGCAGTTTAATATTGATCAAATCAATAGCAGGCAGCCCAACAGCTGGCAAGGAAACGGTGGGCAGCCATGGGGGCACATGGACGGGGGGAGGGGGGCAGGAGGAGGGGGGATGGGAGGGGGAGTGGGAGGAGGGAGAGGGGGAGAGAGGGGGGTTGGGGGAGCAGCGCTGAGTGTGGAGGAGTGGAGGGGGATGGGTCTGGAGGCGCGAGTGCGGTTGGAGCTCGCTAATGTGGGACTGCTGAGAGTGCACGGGGTAAGCAGAGTAATGTGTCGCACACTCCTGTCTGTCACTTCACCTGTCACACGCGTATTGGATGGTTCTACTTGAACCTGGATAATGTGGGGCTGGTGAGATTGCCCGGGAAAAGCAGAGTACACGGGGTAAGTGTTGTAGTAAATTGTCACACACTCTCTTGTGTCACATTTCCTTGTGTCATGCGCTCCTGTGTGTCACTTTCCTTGTGTCACATGCCATCCTGTCATGTTCTAACGCGTCTCTTTTATTATCTTGTCATATTCTGGTGCGTCACATGCCACCACACCCCTCCCTACTCACCACTCACTCCCCCATCAGCTGCATGTCACAGAGTCTTCCTTCCTTCCTCTCCCATTCCCATCCTCACGGCCGTGGAACTACTCTTCCCCCTCTCTCTTCCTTGCTCTGTTCCTCCCCCCTCCCAGCTGCACCAGTCAGAGCGCCAGGATGATGAGATCAGCTCGCACCTCCGCACGTCACAGAGACGGTTGCAAGTCAAGGTGAGATGGGTGGACGTCGTAGGGTGATTCTGGTGCAGTTGACTGTGTGATACAAGTCGGGTTTGCGGCGACTCAAAAGACGGTTGCAAGTCAAGGTGAGATGATTGGAAGTCGTAGGGTGATCGGAGTGCAGTGGGATTTTTAAGAAGAAGAAGAAGAAAAGAAAAACAAGAAAGGCAGAGCGATTCCTTGTTGCGCTTCCCTCTGGTTCCCTTTTCCTCTCACCTGACGTATTTCTCCCTTTTCTTTTCTTCCCCCCCCGCCATCTCTTGTCTTCCCCCTCCCCCCCCTCCCCCTCTCCCCCCCCCCCCCAGTCGCAGCACAACCAGCACAAGTCGGCTTGCTTGGAAGAGGTGGTGGCACCAAGACGACTGGAGGCATACCTGTTGACCTGGCTTACCACCTGTTCCCTTTCGCTCCCTCCCCTCTCTCCCTCTCCCTCCCTCCCCTCTCACCCTCTCCCTTTCTCTCCCTTCCCTCTCACCCTCTCCCTCCCCTCAGTCGCAGCACAACCAGCACAAGGCAGCGTACTTGGAAGAGGTGGTGGCGTCAAGACGACTCGAGGAGGAAAGGTGGGTTCCGCCAGTTGTGAAGAGACTGTAACTAGAGCATAACACGAGCCGTGTAATTCAATTCATAATGCGCGTACGGCAACACATGCCCGAAATCACGTTTTTTTTTTTAACTAGACTGTAACTAGAGCATAACACGAGTTGCCATTCAATACATAATGCGCGAACTGGAACACACTCTGTGTTTCCTATTCACACGAAATCTCGGTTTTTTTTTTTTCCATCTGTTTTATTACACCGTCCACTACCATGTTGAACCCTGGTGCTCCGTTACAACTTTACATTAGCAGGAGCTGTGAGAAGCTCGTGGTGGATCGCCTGCTCGAAATGGCGTACGCCAGACGAACGGTAAGCGCTGCCTCCCAGCCCCAGCCCAGCCTCACACTAGTATGCTGTATCTCTCCCCCCCTGGTATCTTCTTCTCCTCTCATACCGCCAAAAGCTGCTCATTTCCAAAAGCTCTACTTCGTTCATCCGTTTTCGAGATGTCTAATTTTTTAGCTGTCTGTTTTTTAGGTGCCTAAAACATAGACAATTTTTTGGACGTCTCAAGGATGCTCATTTCTAACTTCGCTGCCTCTTCCATTCGTTTTTTCAGGGTCTATAGATTGCACCAGGGGCAACAGGCACCATCACTGAAGGCGCAGGCTCCTCTCTCAAGCTCGCCCGTCAATCCGCCGTGCCGTCATGTGCCGGGCATTGCAGCAAGCCGAGGAGTGGCAGGCACAACTGGCTTAAGCTCGCTGCTCCTTTTGGGACGTGTTGAGCCTTTTATAACTCTGCTACTGCCTCTGCCCCCCTGCTCCCCATCCCAGGGTCTCAAGATCACGGGTGCTACAGGCACCATCACTAAAGGCGCGGGCTCCTCTCTCAAGCTCGCCCGCCAGTCCGCCGTGCACTTTGTGCGCCGGGCCTTGCAACGAGCCGAGGAGTGGCAGGCAGGCACGCTCCTCCCGCACCTGCAGCGAGTGCACCCAGACCTGCAGCCCTCGCCGAGCCTGCTTGCCGAGCCTAGCCCACTGCCGTGGACCCCCGGACCTGGTGGTGTGGGCACACCAGGGATGGGGGGGGTGGGGGGGGTATCAACCCCTGGGGGGATACCGGGTACCCCTGCTGCTGCTGCGGCTGCTGCTGGAACTGGTGGTGGTGCTCCTGCGGGCGGCGCGGATGGTTCCGGGGCAGGTGCATCTGGTGCAGGTGCTACCTCTAGCCTCCTAGCCCTTTTCAATCGCCAGAGACTTGCGCTCTTCCCGCCATCCCCACCCCGCAACCCAATCCCACTTTCTTTCACCACTCCCACCACCAATGCCTCCACTGCTGCTGCCACTGCTGCTGCTGGCGGTGCTGCTGCTGCTGCCACGCCTGGTGGTGCCTCTCCAGCGCACGAGATCGCAGGGTTGAGTCCCCTGGGAGCAGGTGGGGGGGCGCCAGACGCAGAGACGGACAGCCTTGTGGCGTCCATGCTCATTCCGGGCTCGCCGTGCGACTTCCTGTCAGGTAAGGGTGAAGGCAGGCCAGGTTTTCCGAGCCTTTAGGCAGAAGGATGTGGTAGAGGGGCGCATGTAGTAGTAAGCAGGCAATTTAGGAGGACTGACAGTTTCCTGGTGTCCGTCCAAGCTCATTCCTGGCTCGCTGTGCAACTTCCTGGCGACTTCCTGTCGGGTAAGGATTGAAAGCGTGGTTAAGTCTCGTAGCCTTGGGGGGCGATCATTCTGGTTGCGCCCAAGTTCATTCCAGACTGAACGCAACCAGGAATGGTCGCTCTCTCTTTTGAGGCGCCTCAAAAGTCATTCCAGACTGAACGCAACCAGGAATGGTCGCTCTCTCTTCATTCCTGGCTCGGCTCTCCATGCGACTTTTGAGTCGACTCAAAAGTCGCTCTCTCTTCATTCCTGGCTCGGCTCTCCATGCGACTTTTGAGTCGACTCAAAAGTCGCTCTCTCTTCATTCCTGGCTCGGCTCTCCATGCGACTTTTGAGTCGACTCAAAAGTCGCTCTCTCTTCATTCCTGGCTCGGCTCTCCATGCGACTTTTGAGTCGACTCAAAAGTCGCTCTCTCTTCATTCCTGGCTCGGCTCTCCATGCGACTTTTGAGTCGACTCAAAAGTCGCTCTCTTCATTCCTGGCTCGGCTCTCCATGCGACTTTTGAGTCGACTCAAAAGTCGCTCTCTCTTCATTCCTGGCTCGGCTCTCCATGCGACTTTTGAGTCGACTCAAAAGTCGCTCTCTCTTCATTCCTGGCTCGGCTCTCCATGCGACTTTTGAGTCGACCCAAAAGTCGCTCTCTCTTCATTCCTGGCTCGGCTCTCCATGCGACTTTTGAGTCGACTCAAAAGTCGCTCTCTCTTCATTCCTGGCTCGGCTCTCCATGCGACTTTTGAGTCGACTCAAAAGTCGCTCTCTCTTCATTCCTGGCTCGGCTCTCCATGCGACTTTTGAGTCGACTCAAAAGTCGCTCTCTTCATTCCTGGCTCGGCTCTCCATGCGACTTTTGAGTCGACTCAAAAGTCGCCCTCTCTTCATTCCTGGCTCGGCTCTCCATGCGACTTTTGAGTCGACTCAAAAGTCGCTCTCTTCATTCCTGGCTCGGCTCTCCATGCGACTTTTCGTCAGGTAAGGGGAAAGGCAGGTCTGTTCTTCGAACCTTTGTGCCGTGGGAAAGTGGGGGGAGAGTGGTCACTGATCAGCATTGATAAAAGCAGGGCATGCTTCACTGGAAGATCAGTGCTGTTTACGCTGATGTAGCATTAGAAGCAGCTTTGAACAAGTAGGCAATGCCAAGCAAGAGGTGCAGATGGGGAGACTGGCTGTCCGGTGCTGTCTGGCTATAAGTAACAGACTATAGCCAGTCCCTGGGTATATAGCCGTCTGAGACGGGTATATTCTTCACCAAGCCCCGCCCATCTTGGGCTATATTTCTCTTTTCCCCATCTAGCTCATGACCCCTCCCTCAACCTGCCATCACCCGAACCCCCCTTCCCCATCCCCTCTTCCCCCCCCCAGAGCCCCACTCTCGAGGTGCGTTGAGGAGAATCGAGAGCAGGGGCGAGCGCATGGGAGGCATGGCAGGAGGAGGAGTGGGCGGAGGGGCAGCAGCTGGCATGGACGGCTTGGATGGGTCGTTCAGACACAAGGAGAGGACCGCCAGACTGGAAGACGTTTTTGGCGCTGGTGGTGCTGGTGCTGGTGGCAGTCCGGGTGATGCTGCTGCTGCTGCTGCTGCTGCTGGCGGTGGTAACAGGTTTGGAGGAGGCGCCTCACCAGCAGCAGCAGCAGCAGGAGGGGCAGGAGGAACACTTAAAGGAGGGCCATCCGCAGCCGGAGCAGGGGGAGGGGGTAGTGGCGGTCCGGTGCTGCTACCCCCTGGGAACGTCAAGCGGAAGCGGACGGATCGTGATCGGGACAATGTGGATTTCACCAAGGGGGGCTCCCCTGCCCGGCGTACCGGGGATGGCGGGCTCACAGGCCCCACCCCCACTGGTGCGAGATCGAGTCTTGCAGGAGGGGGAGGGGGCGGGGGCGAGGGAGGAGGGGGAGGGGAGAGGAAGAAGGGGCGGTGGCGGCAGCACCGGGCCGGGGGAGTGCAGAGAGGTTCGGGAGGCCAGGTTGGGACCCCTCCCATTGCTACCCCTCCAGGTCCGGATTCCGGGGCTATCGACCAATCTGGTGGCGGCGCTGGTGGTGGTGGGGCCGCTGCTGCTGCTGGTGGGTGGGATGGGGCAGGGGAGTTTGACACCAAGCTTCCAGGGTCTTCCCAGGGGGATTTTTTCTCGCCTGGGTCGAGCCACACCCACAGCATTCCCTTGGGAAAACGTTCGCGAGCATCAGGCGTGGGTCCTGGCAAGTCGGGCAAAAGAAAAGCCTCGGCAGACGATTTCCCGGACCTGGATCCGAACCGGAACGCCATGCCTACGACGCCGCAGCCAGAACTGGAGCAGGTGGTGGAGCTGGAGAGCCTGGCGGCAGGTTCGGTGTTTGGTTCGGCGATGCCGGAGCTGGGAGTGCAGGGGGATGACTTTGGGTGGCTAGCGGGATTACCAAGTGATGAGCTGTTGTTGGGGGGAGAGCTGGGGGGTCTTGATGATGGGCTGGCAGTGCCAACAGACAATTTGGCGGATCTTGGGTTCTGATTCCCAGCCTTGCGGCTTGGAATATGGCGTCTACATGCTCAAGAGGTCTATGAAATGGTTAGTGAAGAGTAGGTGATGGGTTTTTTTATTCCCCTTCCACAAAGTTCTAATTAGCTGTGGTGGTTGGACAAACTCTTGACAGTTGTAGCAGGTGGCATTTGGTTGTTGACAGGCAATTTGAGGGATGAGTTGCTGTTAGGCAAGGGAGTTCTCTTGAACTAATTGATGTAGTAATTTGCAAAGAACTCGTTTGTCTTCTTTTGTTACATTTTTGTATTGTTGCTCCTCTTTCCCTGCTGTGCAGGCTTTCAGGACAATGCATATGTCTGACATGCAAAAGGAGCATAGGATATTGGGGTGGGGTCTATGAACAATATATATGAATATTTCCAAATAGGACGAAGTACGCTCTAAAAGGTCGATGGATCCGCTATGGTGCAAAGGCGTGACCTTTTTTCAACGGATACCGCAGTTGGTGGAGACAGTACCATTTGCGTGCAGGTTTGGTCGGTGTGCCGCTGCGCTATTGGAATCAAACGTAATGTCTAGGTTCGGCGCACTTCCCGAGGTGCTGTTGGCATGGGACGTGTTTTCTTCCCCACGAAATGTTTGTCGCGTATTTTGTCATGCCTTAGCAGCATGCCGTGGTGAATACGTGCTGCATCCATCGATACGAAATTGGTCACATTGTTTGAACAAAATGCTAGCGTTGAGAATAGTTCAGAAAAACGAACCTGATCAGAAAATCGATCAGAAAAACGAGCCTGAATCGATCAGCAGGCCTGTGATTGCGTAACGAACGGACCTGCTCACCCTTACCTCTCTGGTTGGTCATCCAACTTCCAGGGAGATCAGGTCAGGCAAGCTCAAACCTGCCCGCGGGGTATGTCTGACGACTTTTGGCGACAACACGACATTATCAAGGCATAAGGGAAGGTCTGCTTTCCTGCTGCTCTCTCTAGAGACATTACAGTATCTAGGCTAGGCTCGACAATGTCTGTTGTCTGCACCTCAAACCAATGATCCGCGTCATGTCCCAGCCCAGCTTCTAGGTGCTCCTTGATCTGCGTCTAAAAAGTGCGAGGCTAACTTTTGCGAATGATCTGCGCGTTTCGCAGGGTCCTAGCCTTGCGGTCAGTTTTGCAGGTTGGCCCATCCTTGTTTGTAAGAACCTCGCTACATCCTCACTGCACCACTGGTAGATCCTTGGATGACAGACCCTGATTAGACAAGTTTCAGAAAATTTACCTGCTGCTAGTCGTGACTTATTTCCTAGTATATTTTCAACCCAGAGGTCATTCCATCCAGCCTCGGATGTTTTCCGCTCGTTCCTCCGCACTCCGCCTCCTCCGCTGCTCCGCCTGCTTCGCAACTGCGCGCGCCTCCCTCCCCGCGACGACTTGGCGCGCAGCCTGGCGGGCACCGGCGGCCGCCATCATTCCCCCCTGCCCGTGCGCTCTCCCCCCCGCCATGCCCGCCTGTCCATGTGCCCTTCCCCGGGCTGCGCTGCCTTGCGCGATCGCTGGCGAAGTTCCCCCTGGGGGGGCGCTCCGCACAACAGCTGCGATTCGCGGAACAACTGCGATCCGCGCAACGGCCGCGCTTAGTCGGCCGTATAGCTTCTACGCCATCAGCGGCGGAATAGTCAACTGTAGCGGGAAGTGCCACGGCAAGTCGCCAAGCGCGCAGATCTGGGGAGATCGAGGCGCGAGGAGATTAACTACCAGGTCGATCTCTCGTGCAGCCTTGCCGTGCGCCAGCCACGGCATCACGAGGGTCCATGGAGGCGGAGATAGGCCAGTAGGAAATGGGTCTTTCGGAAGCAGGCTAGCAGGAAACGAGCCAGAGAGAATTCGACCATATGAGCGCGCAGGCTTCATCGTCGGCGGCGGGAAAGGCGGCGCGAAAGGCGCTGTGGCGGCATGCTGGCATCAGGCTCCGCTGCGCGGGCTCCACGCGTCGCGACGAAACCTATCACGTCCCTTATTGGCGATTGGCCGTGCGACGACGGGCTGTACGACGACAGGCTGTGCGACTAGTAGCATGCCGCTCGGACCGTCGTCGGCGAGAGGCATGTCGTTCGGATCGTCGAGTCTGTTGCGAGGCGACGGTTCGTCGCGCGACGCGCTGGCGTATCACCGGCCGCCGCGAGGGGGCGCGCGGAAAGAGGTAGGGAGAGAAATCCCGCGTCATGCCCCACATCCAGCTACTTCCCGACACTCGGACCTACTTCTCTCTCGAAACCCCGCTTCATGCCCCACTTCCGGACTTTGGGCCCCGCTTGGGTTCCAATGTACAGAACCTTCCCGGGATTATAACCATCCACCAAATCCCCTCCTTCGCACCACCCCCTTTTTTCCCCCCACGCTTCACGCCAAAACCCCTGGCGTAACGCTGGCGTAAACCCTGGCTTAAACCCTGGACCTGATACTCGGAATTTGTCTCCTCTTGTCTGTGAAGAAGCGCGGCGGTGTGAGCCGTTTGAGACGACACCAAGCCGTAGGTCCGCTTTGAGGTGCCTCAAACACCCCCCCTTGCTCCCTCTCCTTTCCATCCCCCCTCCCCCACCCAAACACCCCCTCGTCCCCCTGCTTCCCCCTCCCCCCCCACTCAATCTGCCAGTCGCGACAGTGGCGCATGGCGGAGTGCAAGGTGAAGCTGCGGAAGGAGCCTTAAGCACCCTTTTCCCCACCGCTTCCCCCCCTCCCCGCCCAGCAGCCCCGGCAGTGGCGCACGGTGGAGTGCAAGGTGAAGCGGCGGAGGGAGCCGCGGCTGGACGCGGTGATAGAGAGGAACAAGAAGTTCAGAATCGTGCAGCGCATACAGGAGCTTCTGGGGAAGCAGGTGAGTGTGGTCAAGAACAGTCAATAACAGTCAACGCTGGTCAACACCTGTCAATGCTGGTAAATAGAGGGAGTCTCGGCTGGACGCGGTGATAGAGAGGAACAAGAAGTTCAAGATCGTGCAGCAGATACAGGAGCTGTTGGGGAAGCAGGTGAGATTGATAGGCAATGGCGGTCATGCTGGTCAACGGCAGTCAACCTTGGTAGTCAATGAACAGACAAGGGAGGTCAACGTGTGCGCGAGTCTCAAGGAGCTGATCCGACACTCTTTTTTGTCCCGCCATTTTTTCGCATTGGCAGGAGGGCGGGCGCATGAGCCTCAAGGAGCTGGGCAGCACCGGGGCAAACAGGACACACTGGTTTCCTTTGTAGCTGCCTCGTTAATAAGTACAGCAGCGCCTTCTCCCGTTCCTTTCATCTGGCCGCACACAGTTTTTGAGGCGCCTCAAAAATCCCCACAGGCACACAGTTTCCACTTTTTACCGTTTCTTCTTTCCTTGAACGTGCTTCTGGCAGGAGGGCGGGCGCATGAGCCTCAAGCAGCTGGGGAAGCACGGCGACAAACAAGACGCGTAACGTTTCTCTTCGCATATTTGTCTTATCACTTGACCGTTTCTCCCTTTCTCACCCCTGGCAGGAGGGCGGGCGCATGAGCCTCAAGGAGCTGGGGAAGTACCGGGAGAAGATTGGGCTGTCTGGGGGAAGGAGATGCGTGGCGCTCGTTCAGAAGTGAGTGAATGACAGAAGATTGTGTGAGAGTGCATGACAGAAGATTGTGTGAGAGTGCATGACAGAAGATTGTGTGAGAGTGCATGACAGAAGATTGTGTGAGAGTGCATGACAGAAGATTGTGTGTGAGTGCTTTTGAGTCTGTGTGAAGACTGTGTGCTTTTGACTCAAAAGCAGAAGATTGTGTGAGAGACTGAAAGCAGTTGAGGAAGCACGGGGAGAAGATAGGGCTGTCTGGGGGGAGGCGACGCGTGGCGCTCGTTCAGAAGTGAGTGCGTGGGTGCCTGTAAAGTTGAGTGTGAGTTGAGTGATAGGTGTGTGTGAGAGAGTCTCAGGGAGTTGGGCAAGCACCAGGAGAAGATTGGGCTGTCTGCGAGGAGGAGATGTTTGGCGCTCCATCAAAGGTGATTGGTGGTCTGTGTGAGGGAGAGGGAGTTGAGTGGGCATGAATAACAATTGTGTGAGAGAGTCTCAGCGAGCTGGGGAAGCACCAGGAGAAGATTGGGCTGTCTGCGGGGTGGGGAGGAGATGTGTGGTGCTCATGCAAAATTGAGTGTGCGTATCTCCAATCTCCCAACGCCAATTTCTTCACTCCAATTCCCCAACTCCACATTCCTAATTCCGTGTCAGATTTCAAGGCGGACGACAGGGGTGGGGGTAACGTCTGCCTCGGGCTGAACGGAGTCCTCTGCCCGTCTCTTCCCACCCACCCCCCTCCAACACATTACCTTCCTTCCGTTCCGCCTGCCCCCTCCCCCTCCCAACCCCCCCCCCCGCTTCCCCCTTCCACCAGATTCCCCCTGATCTTCAAGGCGGACGACAGGGGTGGGGACAACATCTGGTTCAAGCTGACGCCCCTCTTGCCTTTCCCTAGCACCATGTTGCTTGTCTCTTCCCCCCTTTCCCCCCCTTCCTCCCCCCCCTCTCCCCCCCTTGTCAGGTTCCCTTCGATCTTCCAAGTGGACGACAGGGGTGGCGGCAACATCTGGTTCACGCTGACGCCCGAGGCAGCGAGGAGGGACGCGAGGCAGAGAGAGCTGCAGGCGATGATGGAACCGATACTGGTGGATAAGGTGAGATTCAGTGCGGTGCAGTGTGGTGCGGTGACTGCAGTGCGGTGCGGTGCAGTGCGGTATTGTCTGGTCGAGTTGATTATGCAAGAGGCAGCGAGGAGGGACGCGAGGCAGAGAGAGCTGCGGGCGATGATGGAACCGATACTGGTGGATAAGGTGAGATTCAGTGCGGTGCAGTGTGGTGCGGTGACTGCAGTGCGGTGCGGTGCAGTGCGGTATTGTCTGGTTCGAGTTGATTATGCAAGAGGCAGCGAGGAGGGACGCGAGGCAGAGAGAGCTGCGGGCGATGATGGAACCGATACTGGTGGATAAGGTGAGATGCAGTGCGGTGCAGTGCAAACCCATACTGGTGGAAAAGGTGAGATTCAGTGTGGTGCAGTGTGGTGCGGTGACTGCAGTGCAGTGCAGTGCAAGCCCATACTGGTGGATAAGGTGAGATGCGATGTGGTGTGGTGCGGTGATGTTAGGCTTGGTCGGAATTAGTAGCACACTTATAGCCTATATTCCGTCTCACCTGCCTGTTCTCTTACCCTCCCTCTTCCTGCGCCCGATTTTGAATCGTTTCACCGTCACACTGCCCTCCCGCTCACCCTAGCATTTCTAACCCTCCCTCCTAATGCAGCCCTGCAAGCTGCAATGCAGTCGATTTTTGAGTCTCTGAGAGTCTCTGAGTCGACTCAAACATCGCCCTGCAAGCTGCTGACGATGTCAGCAACAGTGTCAGTCGCTGAGAGTTGAGAGCAGTTGTGTTCCTTGAAATCGCACCTTACACGTTTACCACCGTCTACTACCCCCACCCAACCCCCTCCCTCCTCACTCCTTTTTCAGCTGTGCAAGCTGCTGCTGATGCCAGCAACGCATTCTGTCCCTGAGTGTGGGGGGGAGACATGTGGTAGTGCCTCGGCATCTCCTCATGCTGGACCCTCATTCCTCTCCTCCCCCTCTCCCCCCTCTCCCCTCTCTCCCCCCTCTCCCCTCTCTCCCCCCTCTCCCCTCTCTCCCCCCTCTCCCCTCTCTCCCCTCTCTCCCCCCTCTCCCCTCTCTCCCCCCTCTCCCCTCTCTCCCCCCTCTCCCCTCTCTCCCCCCTCTCCCCTCTCTCCCCCCTCTCCCCCCCTCTCCTCCCCCTCTCCCCCCTCTCCCCTCTCTCCCCCCTCTCCCCCCCCCCCCTCCTCCCCCTCTCCCCCCTGTAAACAGCTGACGATGTCAGCAACGCAGTCGCTGAGTTTGGAGAGACGAGTGGTGCAGTGGAAAGCCAACCTCACGTGCTTCCTTCCATGCTCCCATGGGCCCCTTCCCCCCCCCCCCTCCCCCTTCCCCCTCCCCCCCCAACTCCGTCCCCCCCTCCCCCCGATCGCAGCTGTGCAAGCTGCTGATGATGTCAGCAACGCAGACACTGAGTTTGGAGAGCATCGGCCATGTGAGGCGCGAGCTCGGGCTACCAGAGGACTTCAAAACGGTGAGCTGAGTTTCCTGAACAGTGTCTAGTAGTGTGCTACACAGCTCGCGGTCTCTCAGTGCGGAGAGCATCGGCCATGTGAGGCAGGAGCTGGGGCTGCCAGAGGACTTCAAAACGGTGAGCTCTGATTGTTTGGCAAACACCAGTGATTGAGAGGTACTCAATGGTGTTCAGTGGTCTTACACGTGTCACTTTTGATTCGACTCAAAAGTCACCGTCGTTCTCCGTCCCCCACGGTCAGTTCTGACTACCCCGCCTCTCTGATTGACCGGAGTAACCAGCCCCTTGCGGGGCCTAGTGGTGGTGCTGCTGCTGCTGGGACGACCGCCTGGCACTGTCTGTGGCCGAGACCCTTTATTTCTGACACAAACCCTCCTCCCCCCTCTCTCCCCTCGTTCTCCCCTCCCTATACCCCTCTGTCTCCCTTCCATGGTATTCGGTTCCTCTTCCTTCCATGAGGAGTCTATTTTTGAGTCTAGTTTTGAGGCGCCTCAAAACTAAACGGTATTCGGTTCCTCTTCCTTCCATGAGGAGTCTATTTTTGAGTCTAGTTTTGAGGCGCCTCAAAACTAAACGGTATTCGGTTCCTCTTTCTTCCATGAGGAGTCTATTTTTGAGTCTAGTTTTGAGGCGCCTCAAAACTAAACGGTATTAGGTTCCTCTTTCTTCCATGAGGAGTCTATTTTTGAGGCGTCTCAAAAATTGTCTCCCTTCCATGTTATTAGGCTCCTCTTTCTTCCTCTGCCAGTCCTTTTTGCCCCGGTTCTCTGGTCGCTTCAGAGTAGCGACCCCCCCTGCTGCCGCTCCTGGTCCTCCCGGTGGTCCCATGCTGGTGCTGCAGCAGTGGGACGACCGCCTCGCACTGTCTCTGGCCGAGGCACTTCAGTCGTGGCACTAACGTCTTTCTCTCACCTCTCTCCTCTCCCCTCTCCCCACTCCCCACTCTCCTCTCTCCTCTCCCCTCCCTCCTCCCCCTCCTCCCCGGCCCCTTTTCTTCTTCCAGTCCTTTTGCCCCGTTTCTCTGGTCGCTTCAGTGTAATCAACCCCCCTGCCGCTCCTCGTGCTGCTGCTGCTGCTGGGGGCCCATGCTGGTGCTCCAACAGTGGGACGACCGCCTGGCACTGCCAGTGGAGCCGGCTTTCCTTTTTAACACAACTCCCTCTTTCCCCTCTCTCCCCTTCCGGCTCCCCCTCGTTCTCCCTCTTCCCCCTCCCTTCCCCCCCTTTTTCCCCCTCACGCTTTGTTTCCTCTGCCAGTCCTTTTTGCCCCGTTTCTCTGGTCGCTTCAGAGTAGCCCATCCCCCTGCCGCTCCTGGTGCTACCGGGGGTCCCATGCTGGTGCTGCAGCAGTGGGACGACCGCCTCGCTCTCTCAGTGGCCGAGGCGAACGAAGCAGCAGCAGAGGCAAACGAGGTGGCGGCAGAGGTGGGGGAAGCAGAGGAGGCAGCTGCGAGAGTGACGCATAGCAAGGCGGTAGTGGATGGTGAAGCAGCAAGTGGTGGCGGCGCTGCTGCTGCTGCTGCTGTCTCTGGTGCTGCTGCTGCTTCTGGTGCTGCCACTAGGGGAGGCAGTATTGGTGCAGCAGCAGCTGCTGCTGCTGGCCGTGGCTGGGTTGGTTCTGGTGCTGCTGGTGCTGGTGGCTCTGCTGCTGGTGATGGTAGTGCCGGTGCTGGTGCCGGTTCTGCTGCTGGTGGGTGGGGGGGTGGTGGTGCTGGTGGTGCTGCTGCTGCTGCAGGGGGGAGAGCACAGGGGGGGATGGTGAGGAGAGAGGGGGTGGGGGGAGTGTTGGGGGATGGGGATGCGGAGGGGGAGGGGGAAACTGGGGAGGAGAGGAAGGGAGAGGAAGAGAAGGAGGAAGAGGAGGAGTGGGAGGAGGAGGAGGAGGAAGAGAAGGAGAAGGAGAAGCAGGAGGAGGAGGAGGAGGAGGAGGAGGAGGTCGAGGTGGAGGAAGCAAAAGAGGAGAATAAGAGAACAAAGGAGAAGGAAGAGGAGGAAGAGGAAGAAAAGAGCGAGGAGGACTCGGATCAGTTTGGTGTGGGGGGGAGGAAGGCAGACGAGAGAGGGCATAAGGGGCATGAGGGGCCAGGGGATGGGTGGGAAGAGGGGTGGGGAGAGGGAGGAGGGGAAGGCGGGGGAGACGGAGGCCACAAAGACAGCAAGCACAAGACACAGAAGAGTGAGGAGAAACGGGAGAAGGAGATTCGGAGAGAAGGGAGACGGGGAGAGATGATATGGGAAGAAGACAGGTGGGAAGAGGAAGAGGAAGAGGAAGAGGAGGGGCAAGAGGAGGGAGGGGCGGCGTTCAGAAAGCCTCACCTGGGCCCAGTTCTGTCATGTGACAACACTTCATTACCACCCGATTCTCCCTCTCAAACGACACAGACCGCCCAAGTCACTCCCCCCCGGCCGTCACTGACCCCTGAGGAGCTAGCAGAAGCGGCTATCGGGTTGGGGCGGCAGAAAGCAGAGGCCAACCGAATGGCTTACATCACTGGGACCAGGGCGGGCCAGGAGGAGGGGAGCGGAAGCAGTGGTGGCACTGGCAGCATTGGCTCTGGTGTGAGCACCAGCAGCAGCAGCAGGAGCAGCAGTAGCAGTCGAGAGGAGAGGCAGAAGCAAGCCATTCGCATGCGTCTTAAGCTGAACCTCCCCCCGGGGCTCAAGCTGAAGCAGTCCGATCTGCTAAGGCTGCAGAGATTCCATGCCTCTCCTCCCATCTCCCCCTATGCCAACCCACTTGATATTGGCATATCACCCGAGTCTAAGGAAGCGGAAAGGCGGGCAGTTGCAGTGATTCGGGAGTTTCTTTCGCTGACCGTAGAAAAGCGGTGCCTGATCGACCAGCTGACGCACTTCCGGAAAGATTTTTTGCTGCCCGCAAGGATCTACGCACTGCTGTTGCGGCACCCGGAAATTTTTTATGTTTCGGTGAAAGGGGTAAGGGACTCGGTGTTTTTGAGAGAGGCTTATGAAGGGGATGTGCTCATAATGAGTGATGAGCTGGCGGATGCTATAGAGGAGATGAGGGTTCTTATGGAGGATGGGAGGAGGAGGATGAGGAGGGGAGGAGGAGGAAGGGAGAGTGGGGAGAAAGTGGAGTACGGGAGGGAGGGTAGTGGGGAGGAGAGTGACTGGGAGAGTGAGGATGAGGAGGAATGGGAGGAAGAGGACGAGGAAGAGGAAGACGGGGAAGAGGAGGAGCGAGAAAGGGAGGAGGTTCGGGGCCGGAGGGTAGTGCCAAGTGCTTGGAAGAGGGCAAATGGGCGGATGGTTGAGGGAGAGGGGAGAGGAGGCACCAGACAGACTGCTGTTGGAGAGGAGGGGAGGAGGAAAGGAATAGGACGAAGAATGGGTGAGGGAGTGGGGAGAGGAATGGGGAAGGGGCAGAGTGGGGAAGCGAGGGTGGGATGGGTGGGTGTGGATAGGTGGGGGAGGGAGCGTGAGAGTGGGGGTGTGGAGGGGGTTGGGTGGATACCTGTGGGGAGTATGGTTGAGAATGAGAGAGAGAGTGATAAGAGGAAGGGGAGAGAGGAGGAGAAGAAGAGGGAGGAGCGAGAGGAGGGAGTGCAGGAAGAGGAGGAAGAGGAGGAAGAGGCGGAAGAGAGGGGTTTTGCGGCAGATGCGGTGAGAAAAGGGGGAGGTGAAGAGAAGGGGGAGAGGGAAAGGGAGGGGATGGCAGGCAGCAAGGAGAGGAGAGGGAAGGAGGTATGGAGGAGCAAGGGCATCCACAGGCAGGGGCTGATCAAGGACCGGTGGTGAGGTGACAATCGGAGTCGAGTCTCAACACACATGGGGGAGTTGTACGAGGAGTGGGAAGGAAAAGGTGAAGAGGAGAAGGAAGGAGGGCGTGGAGAGGAGTAAGGGCATCAACTGGCAGGGGTGGATCAAGGACCGGTGGTGAGGTGGGGTCCCATGGAGCTGTGACTTGATGCTGCATTGTCCAGCCGAAGGGGAGAGGAGAGGGAAGGACGCATGGAGAGGAGTAAGGGCATCCACAGGCAGGGGTGGATCAAGGACAGGTGGTGAGGTGATTCTTATTGGTATCGGAGGAGGACGGGCAGCGTGGAGGAGTGGTGATGATGAAGGCGCACCGTGATATGATTATCCACAGGCAGGGGTGGGTCAAGCACAGGTGGTGAGGTGAGGTGAGTCCCCTTGGCGTTGCGTCTTGAAGCCACGCGGCAGCGTAACGTACGGTGCAAGAAGTGGTGGGGGGGAGGAGAGGGAAGGAGGAGCCACGCTGCCTCGTAACGTACAAGAAATGGTGGGGGGGAGGAGTAGGGCGGGGTAGCATGGAGGAGTGGGGATGAAGGAGCACAGTGATATCCACTCCACAGGCAGGGGTGGATCAAGCACAGGTGGTGGAGTGAGTGAGTCTTCTAGGCATAGGGGTGGTTGGGGCTTAGGACTCAGGACTGGAATGGTATATGCTTGCTCGGCATGCGCGGACCAGTGTCTTGCAGTCGGCACACACAGTCAAGCATTCTCAGGCACAGGATTACCCAGCAGCACTATCGTCGCACTCCGCGTGATATTTGACTAACTAGACTCCTCTGCATGTCTCCAGATCTGCTTCCAAAGCTCCAACACGACCTGCTTTCCATGCTCGCCCGCTCTCGTGCCGACTCGACCATCCGAACATACGAGCCTTACTGGGTGAAGTTCCGCGCCTTCTGCACGAAGGTCAACCTAACGTTCTTGCCGGCATCGGACATGACCCTCGCGCTCTACCTGGTGTACGTCATCCAACGCAAGGCCTCCTTGTCGGTGGTTCAGCTCACATGCTCCGCCGTGAGCTTTGCCCACTGGATGACAGGCTCAACATGCCCAACCACCGGCCCTTTCACCTCCCAAGTGCGCGACTTCGCGAAGCGACACTGCACGCGTCCTAACAGGATTAAAGAGCCAGTCTCACTCCATCAGGTCCACGATATGGCAGCCTCCTTCCTACAGTCAAACAACCCAACCATGTTCCAAAAAGGATTGATCCCGATTCTCATGTACACCGGTTTTCTGCGCTACTCGGACCTGGTGGCCATCCAATGGTAGGACATCCAATTTAAAGATGAAGCGTAGTGAAACCACGAAAGAGATGTACGTCACGCCCGCGACCGATCATCCGTTCGGCGCGTCTCGTCGCCTGCAAGACCCGGCGGCGGCACCATCTGTTAAAGGAAGAACTAAATGTTAAACTAGAACGAGAAACCTAGAACAAATACTAATTGGTTGTACTCACTAGAAGCATACCTCAGTCTAGCCTATAACTTCCACATAACTAATATGTGTAAGTTGACACACCCCCTAGGCTAGACAAGGGGTGAAGCTAAGCAAGAAGCAAACAGCTCAGGGTGGCACTACTAGTCCAACCACTGAGGCAGGGGTCTGGAGACCAGTCATCAAGAGTACAAACAAGACTAAAGCAAGCCAGGGCGGCACTACTAGTCCAGCCACTGAAGGTAAGGTCACAAGGCCAGTCTGACAGGCATATATAATCTAGAGTACACAATCAGGATCCTAACAGGTGAGTAGCTACAGGAACAAGACCAAGCTGTACACAGTGCCGCTGATGATCTTTAGGCGCAAGCACATTAGTAAAGATATCAGCTGTGTTGGCACCTAAGGCCAAGTGAACTACGTGGGCCTGGCGGCACTGCTGTAGCTCGCGCAGGAGGAAGTACCGCAGCTGGATATGCTTCGATCTGCCCTCAAGCCGAGGCTCCTGACACAGGAGTATTATGGCCCTGTTGTCAGCGTACAGGACCGGAGCAAAGCTAGGCCGCTCACCTAAGTCTGTGAGCAAGAAATGTCAGCCAGCGGAGCTCCTGTGCCGCCATGGCACCAGCGTAGATCTTAGCCTTACAGCAGGACTAAGCCACAGACGACGAGCGAGTGGATCTCCAAGAGATAGCACCTGAACCAAGGCTAAAACAGTAGCCCTGCGACGACCTGAGCGTCTCAGAGTCGTCTGCCCAAGAAGCGTCTGTGTGCCCAGTAAGGACCACTGGCATGCGTCCTCCAAGCACTAACCCCATGCCCGATGTACAAGCAAGATAACGCAAAACCCTCTTAGCGGCAGACCAGTGCTGAGGTCGGTGTCTGCCTATGGCCACAAAGCGAGCCAGGATGCTGAGAGGGTATGCGAGATCTGGGCGAGTGCAAGTCATCAGGTACATGAGGCAACCCACGAGCTCTGCGTAGGGGCCATTGGGCTCTACTGGCTCCTCAGGAACCGGAACGGAGAGCCCATGGTCTACAGGTAGAGGTGTGGGCTGTGCGGAGGAGAACTGAAGACCGAACCTCTGAAGGACCTGACGCACCAAGTGTGACTGTGTCAGAGTGATGGTGCGTGCTGCTCTGTCCCTGGAGATCTGCAAGCCAAGATAGTGACGCAACTCTCCAAGGTCAGTGGAGGTGTGTCTCTTCAGCAACTCGACCTTCACAGAGGCCAGTGCGTCCCTGTCAGCAGTAGCAAAGACCAGGTCGTCTACGTAGACAAGGATGTAGAACGGAGTCTGGCCGGAACGCACAAACAGTGAGGGGTCAGCAGAGGACGGAAAGAACTGCAAGTCTGCTAACGTGGCACGCAGCGTGTCATACCACTCGCGGGGAGCCTGACGCAGGCCGTAGACCGGGCGCCTGAGAAGCCACAAGGTCCCAGGGGGGAAGGTACCAGTGAAGCCCTGTGGTCGACGCAGGTAGACCTGCTCGTGTAGGCTGCCCTGAAGAAAGGCAGTAGAGAAGTCGAGGGAGTGAAGCTCGTAGTCGCGCTGTGCTGCTACGTGTAGCACCGCTCGAAGAGTGGTCATCTTCGGGGTCGGGGCGAAGGTCTGGAAGAAGTCAACCCCCTCGCGCTGACTGAAACCTCTGGCCACGTAGCGCGCCTTGAAGACAGGCGGCTCTCCAGGGGGGCGCTTCACCTTGAAGAGCCACCGACCATCGACTACATTCGCCCCAGGCGGGGGAACTGCGTCGACGTAAGTGCCGATGGACCTCCAAGATGCCATCTCCTGCTCCATGGCAGCTATCCACTAAGAGGCCCAAGGTCCCGAGGTGGCCTCAGCGTAGGTGCGAGGGGTCGGGATGTCGAAGGCGTATGGGTCACCCTGAGGGACTAACAGCATGGAGCAGAGATGGGGAGCAGCCTCGGAAAGGAAAGCAAGTTCGTACTGCCTGTCCTCTAGGACGTCACGGCCAAGGGCAGGAGCACCCCCGACGGACGGAGGACGGGCAGGGTCAGAGACCAGAGCGGTAGCGTAGTCAAGGCGGCAGGTAGAGGCGAAGTCAGCAACAGCAGCGACAAGCGCGTCAAGGCGCGAGACAGGAACAGAAGGGTCGGTAACAAGAGAGGCAAGGACCCGAGAGACAAGGGGACGAGCGGCACGGAGGTAGTCAGAGAACGGAGGAGGTGCAACAGCAAGGGACGAGGGAGGAGGGGACGGGAGGAGGGGAGGACGAGACGAGCGGGAACGGAGCAACATAGGGTGGGTGGGCAGGACAGGAGAGACGGGACGAGCACGGGAGGGACGGCGAAACCAAACGTGGGACGGATGTGTAGGGTCAGGAGACAACGGAGGGGACACAGGAGGGGAACGAGGAGGAAGACGGGTCGGAGACGAGTCTGGCGGCGGGAACACAGGAGCGTAGACAGGAAGGTCAGCAGGCGGTGGGGGAGACACCGGCGAGCGGTCCGGGGAGGGAAGGCCGAGCAGGCGGAGAGCGGAGACCGGCGGCGACGGCTGCTGCGGCGGCGGCGACGGCTGGGCCGAAACCCTCGGACCGGCAGAGGCAGGACGACCGTTGGCGGAACACTCAACAGCAGCACCCCTAGAGCGAGAACCCCCTCCAACACCAGCGGCACCCCAAGGGGCCGCAGGACGAACACCCTCCTCCACACCAGCACCCCCAAGGGCCCAGAGCGGCGGCGACGGCAGCGGCGGCGGCGGCAGCGGCGAGGGCAGCGGCGGCGACGGCTGCGGTGTCTGCGGCGGAGGCGGCGACTGCGACAATGGAGGCGAAGACACCAGGGAAGGGGGACACCGCAATGACGGGCTGGGGGTACCAGCAGAGTCAGCGGACTCCTCAACGGGGACAACCGACGGGAAGGGAGTGGCGTGAGAGACACCAGACGTGGCAGGGCGAGGCGGGAGAGGAGCAGGGGCTACCGGGGGAGAGGGAGCAAGGAACAGGGGCGGAGCAACTGGGAGACCTCGGTGAGGGAAGCGGCGGTAGAAGGAGACAGACTCGTCAAAGGTGACGTCACGAGAGTGGAGGAAGCAGTGAGACGGCAGGTGGTAGAAAAGCCAGTCAGACGAGTCCAGGGGGAAACCGAGGAAGACACAGGGGACAGTGCGGGCCTAGCTAGGGTATGGGCGGAATTGGTAGGTGGGGGATTCTAACCTACGCGTGATACCATGTTAAAGGAAGAACTGAATGTTAAACTAGAGCTATACTAGTTGGTTGTACTCACTAGAAGCATACCTCAGTCTAGCCTATAACTTCTACATAACTAATATGTATAAGTTGACACCATCCTCTGCACAACACGCCGAGGCACTTCTCCGCCACCGCAAGCCCCCACTGCACATGTCTCAACGACCCCACTTGAAATGAGAACGATGCCTATTGCAAAGGACAAGAAAGCAAGCTTTCTCAATATTATAATTTTTTAACACACGCATTGTTTTTCAAAAATTGTGTATTGTGAAAGCGAAGCTGATTGTACTGAAGCGTTGGGCATCGTCGAAGCGCGCTACTCGCCCTTTTCCAACTACATATACGTGGGTTGGAGCTCATTAACCTCCACCCACGTCTCTCATTTTTCAAACGGCTCAGTCAACTTTCCCACCCACCCCCCCCTCTGGACAACCGTATCAGAATTAGAATTGAATAATGGTAAAATGAGAGTACACACAAATATACCTAAGTATTGTACCCTCTAAGAGGTGACCCTATACAGTCTATACAAACATGACAAATACACATGTTTGACACACCCCCTAGACTGCATAGGGGAATACCCTAAACAAGCAGCTCAGGGCGGCACTACTAGTCCAACCTCTGAGACAAGGGTCTGAGAGACCAGTCAGAAGGAGTACAGACAAGGCAAGAACAAGAGCAGGGTGGCACTACTAGTCCAGCCACTGGGAGAGGACACAAGTCCAGTCTGAGTATACATATAAAGGACAGTACAAGTCAAGGTCCTAGCAAGTAAGAGGCGACAGGAACTAGACCAAGCTGTACACAGTGCCGCTGATGATCTTTAGGCGCAAGCGCCTTCGTAAAGATATCAGCTGTGTTGGCACCTGAGGCCAAGTGTACTACGCGAGCCTGACGTCGCTGCTGTAGCTCACGCAGGAGGAAGTACAGTAGCTGAATGTGCTTCGCTCTGCCCTCGAGTCGAGGCTCCTGACACAGGAGGATCATGGCCCTGTTGTCAGCGAACAGGACCGGGGCAGAGCTAGGCCGCTCACCTAAGTCAGTGAGCAAGAAGGTCAGCCAGCGGAGCTCCTGTGCCGCCATGGCACCGGCGTAGATCTCAGCCTCACAGCTGGACTGCGCAACAGACGAGGAGCGGGTAGCTCTCCACGAGACGGCACCTGAGCCAAGGCTGAAGCAGTAGCCCTGGGTAGACCTGAGTGTCTCAGCGTCGTCTGCCCACGAAGCGTCTGTGTGTCCAGTAAGGACCACCGGCCTGCGTCCTCCAAGCACTAACCCCATGCCCGATGTACTAGCAAGATAACGCAGAACCCTCTTAGCGGCAGACCAGTGCTGCCGTCGGTGTCTGCCTGTGGCCACAAAGCGCGCCAGGATGCTGAGAGGGTATGCGAGATCTGGGCGAGTGCAAGTCATCAGGTACATGAGGCAACCCACCAGCTCTGCGTAGGGGCCGCTGGGCTCTACCAACTCCTCAGGTACTGGAGCGGAGAGTCTGTGGTCTACAGGCAGAGGGGTGGGCTGTGCAGAGGAGAACTGAAGGCTGAACCTCTGAAGGACCTGGCGCACCAAGTGTGACTGAGTCAGGGTGATGGTGCGCGCAGCTCTGTCCCTGGAGATCTGCAAGCCAAGGTAACGGCGCAGTTCTCCAAGGTCAGTGCACGTGTGTCTCTTCAGCAGCTCTGCCTTCACGGAGGCCAGTGCGTCCCTGTCTGCTGTGGCAAAGACCAGGTCGCCGACGTAAACAAGGATGTAGAACGGAGTCT